GGAAAAGCTTGAGGAGAACTGGCAACAGGTCTTCTTTGAATGTTTGGAGGAATTCACTAGTGAATCCATCTGGGTCTGAACTTTTGTTTTTTTCGGGAAGACTTTTGATTACAGTTTCAATTTCCTTGATATGAATGGATCTATTCAGGTATCCCAAGTCTTCTTGGTTAAATCTTGGGAGATTATAGTAATCCAGGAATTTATCAATTTCTTCTAGTTTCTTTTGTTTCATGGCATACAGACTCTCAAAATAGTCTTTGATGATCTTTTGAATTTCATTGGTTTCTGTTGTGATGTCCCCTTTTTCATTTCTGATTCGGTTTATTAGGACTCTCTCTCTTTTTCTTTGTGAGTCTTGCTCGTGGTTTATCAATCTTGTGTATTTTCTCAAAAAACAAGCTCTTGGTTTCACTGACCTTTTGGATTGTTTTTTTGGGTTTCCATGTCATTAATTTCTGCTCTAAGTTTTATTATTTCTTTCCTTCAGCCAGATTTGGGTTCCTTTTGTTGGTCTTTTTCTAAGATCTTGAGCTATGAGGTCAGTTTATCTATGTAGGCCCTTTCTTTCTTCCTTAGGAATGCTTGCAAGGCTATAAATTTTCCTCTTAACACTGCTTTAGCTGTGTCCCATAGGTTCTGGTAGCTCCTGTCTCATTCTCATTTGTTTCCAGGTCTCTTTTGATTTTGTCTTTGACTTCGTTCATTACCCACTTGTTGTTCAACATTAAGTTGTTTAATTTCCAGGTGTTTTATTTGCTTCTCAGTGTCTTTGTGTGATTTGCCTCTATCTTCAGTGCATTGTGGTCTGAAAAGGTTGTTGATACTACTTCTATCTTCTTGATTCTCTTGAGGTATGTTTTGTGGTCTATCACATGGTCTATTTTGAAAAATGTTCTGTGTTCACAGGAAAAGAATGTGTATTCTTTCTTTTGGGGATGTAAAGCCCTGTATAGGTCTATTAGCCCTCTCTCTTCTATCTTTCTTCAAAGCCAATGTTTCCTTGCTGAGTTTTGTTCTTGTTGATCTATCCAGAAGTGATAAGGCGATGTTGAAGTCTCCAACTACTATTGTGTTGATAACAATGTCCTCTTTAAAATCTGTTAGCAGTTGTTTTAAGTATTTAGCTGCTCCCTCATTAGGTGCGTATACATTTAAGAGTGTGATTTCTTCCTGTTGTACATATCTCTTGATAAATAGAAAGTGGCCTTAACTGTCCTTTCTAATCTTTTTCAACCTGAAATCTATGTTGTCGGATATTAGTATGGCCACCCCAGCTTTTTTGAGGGAGCTGTTTGCTTGCAGGATTGTTTTCCATCCTTCAACTTTGAGTCTGTGTTTTCTCTGACTGTTGAGATGAGTTTCTTGTAGACAGTAGGATGTTAGTTTAATATCCATTTTGCCACTCTGTGTCTCTTAATTGGTGCATTTAGACCATTGACATTGAGAGATTATTGTCATGGGGTTTTGTGTCATCTTTCTGTAGGGGTTGGTTGTGCTGATAAGTGTTTCCCTTCTTATCTTACAGGAGCCCCTTTATTCTTTTTAGGTTTGGTTTTGAGTCTATGAAGTTCCTGAGCTGTTTTTTATCTATAAATAGTGTATCGTTTCATCAAGTTTGAGTGAGAGTTTAGCTGGATAAAGTATTCTTGGTGAGATGTTCATTTAATTGAGTTTTTTCACTATATCCCACCATTGTCTTCAGGCTTGGAGGGTTTCCTCTAATAGGTCTGCTGTGAATCTAAGGGGTGCTCCTTTGTATGTGATTTCCTTCTTTGACCTTGCTGCTTGCAGTATTATGTCTCTATCCATGGCATCCATAATTCAGACTATGGTATGCCTTCGAGTGTTTTTATTAGGGTCTCTTTTAGCTGGCATCCTTCTGGCTCCTTGGATCTGGATGTCTGCATTCTTTAACTCAGGGAACTTTTAAGCAATGATTTCTATGACTGTGGCTTTTTCATTGGGGTTTGCCTCCCTGTTCTTCTGGTACTCCGATGATTCTAATGTTGTTTTTCTTGGCATTATCCCAGAGGTCTCAGATTCACCTTAGAGCTATTTTGAGGTCTTTTCCCATTGTTTGTTGTTCCCTATACGATTTCTGTTGCTCATCTTCAAGATCACTGATCCTGTCTTCAACTGTAATCATTCTACTGCTGAGAGCACCCACTGAGTTTTTAATTTCATCTACTGAATTCTTTATTTGTGACACTTATTTCTGTAGCTTTTTAAAATTTCTGCTCTCATTTCTTCCTGTTTTTTCTCAACTACCCGTTCCACTGTTTCTTTTATTTCTTCCTTTAATTTTCTGGATGTCTGCTCCACTGATTCTTTGAGTAGTTCCTTGAACAACCTCAGCATTTCATCTCAGAATTCTTTATCGGAGAGAACATATTTGTGGGTAACCTCTGCTGAGGATTCAGGACTCTTTTCTTCGTCTTCTCCTCGTAGTGGAGATTTGGGCTGTTTCCCCATGTTGTTGTGGTTGTCTAGAGGTAAAATCTTGGAATTCACTAGCACTGTTCCCTCTTATTGAGGGAAAGGATTCTGAATAAGGTCGGTCGATGGTGATCACCCTTCTCCCCTTCTAGAATATGTCCTTCCTCTCAGGCATTATTCTGTGTGACAGGCATCTAGTGAAGCGTTGGTGGAGGTGGTCTTTTATATTGGGCTTGTACAGCTTCTTTGCATACAGGTCTTTTGTTGGAATTGGAGTAGGCCAGTGGATTATTGTCGTATTGTGGTTGAGGAGGCCAGAACGTTTTCCACAGAATTAGGTGATAAAGGCTGGGATGTGAGTCGAGAGTGCTGAGAGTGGGAAATATAACTGAGGCACAGAAGGCCACGCCCCCTACGGTGGAGGTCACACCCCTAGTCAGTCCCAGGGATGCCCTGACCTAGGAACCTGCAGAGGTGGGTGGGTCACTACAAGGTGGGCTGGGGGTCGGGTGGAACTCCGGTGGGTGTTCCCCAAAGTCTCCTCCTGTTGCCTGGAGGTGGTGGCGCAGTGAAGGGGATGGGGCGCGCTCACGGGGCATGGGACAGGGACATGCTCCCTGGCTCCCTGACGAGCCTGCAGAGGAGAGCGGTGAGAGGTGGCAAGCTTGAGCTTCTTGAGAATCAAATTCTCAGTAAAATAGAGGGCTCAGAGCAGCTTCTTTGAGAAGTCCCGGATTCCCTGGTGCAGTTCAGGAAAGTTTCGAGAAGTAGAAGTGAAGGGTTGGGAGCAGGTGCTTGAAGCCAGACCCTACTGCATCCAAGCCTTGGGGCGGTAGAGGAAGAGCGAGATGGTTTCATCAAGAGCAAAGCAAGGTTCTTGAAGAGAAATAGCTCACTGTCTGTCTTGAGTGACACAGTGGAGGCCTCCAAAGAAAGGCATTTGTCTGGCATTCTTGGGGGGCATTTATTTATTTATTTATTTATTTATTTATTTATTGAATCACCATGGGAAAGGTTACAAAGCTTTCAGGTTTAGGTCTCAGTCATGCAAATATCAAGCACATTTCCCTTTACCAAAACTTATTTTTTACCATGAAGAACCCCAATAAAACCCCACCCCCCACCCCTCCCAGTCCCTGTGGGGCAGATGAATTCTAGTTAACACTCTATCTGCTTTGATTAGATTCATTGTTTCAATAAAAGATTCACCACTATTATTTAGAGTTTACCCCCCCACCCCCAAATCAGACATGCTGACAAAGCATTGTGAAGTGATTTGCTTTCTATAGCTGGGTTCAAGGATTATATGTTGGTTTTGGATTTCTGCTATTTTACTTATTGACCCTGGAAGTATTTCTACTGAAAGTCAGATAGTTAAGAAATTGGTTTCTGTGCTCTGGAGTTGTGGCCGTGCTGGAGAGCCGCTCGCAGGGGGCAACTGGTGACCTCGGTAGGGCGTGAAGGATGGACCGGAACGCCCCCCTTCCCATGAGGTTTTAGTCGCCCCCACACCCCCGGCTCATACCTGCTGTCCACAAGGCTCCCATGTGACCGCCATCTTTCTTTCCAGAGAGGAGAAGGCGACTGGGGCAACACCCTTTCTTGGGGGGCATTTTTAATAGCATATTTTGGGGCTGCTTTATACAGGAAACTTCTGCTTTCTTTGGATTAATTAGCCCTGGGAGGGGACGATCAGGACACATGTACCCAATTTGGGGGAGAAAATAAATTGTATATAAAACAGTCTAAGCCAATCATATAAAAAGGATGCTGGAACATTAGTACAGCAGGAAGGGTGTTTGCCTTGTATGCAGCCAACCCAGTTCAATCCCATATAGTCCCCTGAGCCCTGCCAGGAGTAGTTCCTGAGTGCAGAGCCAGGAGTAACCCCTGAACATAGCTGGGTATGATCCAACAAGCAAAATAAATAAATAATAAAATAAAAACACAAAGGATAACAAAAATATATAGAATGATTTGGATTGACTATGAAATGTCCTAAGCCAATCCTGCAGAGATAGTAAAATGCTTATGAGAGAGTTTAAGGCTATCCAAGGAAGGCAATAGTGTGGCCAAATTTAGGAATTTAGATGACATAAGCATAGAATGTATGATTTAAGTTGGTAAGGCAGGGTGCCTAGGGCAGTTCCAGGGACTGACTGGGCGGCAGACTGGACCCGTGGCAGGGCCGCTGGAGTCTTGATCACAGCTGGTCACCTTCAGGATGGTCTCAGACTGCCAGGCCTTTGAATAGGTGCTTAAGCGAGGCATCTTTTTTTTTCTTTTTGGGTTACATCCAGAAATACTCGGGGGTTACTCCTGGCTCTGCACTCAGGAATTACTCCTGGCAGTGCTTGGGGGACTATATGGGATCCTGGGGATCAAACCCAGATCGGCAGCATGCAAGGCAAATGCTCTACCTGTTGTACTATCACTTTGGCCCCCAAGGCATCTTTTTTTTAAAGGGGATTTTGCTAGACCACTAGACCACTTTTGAAAGGTGCCCTTTATTCTCTCTTTGTAGTTTTCAAAGAATTAACCTGATTTGTCTTTTATTTATGCAGATGAAATTATGCAGCAGGAAATCAGGCCCTTGGGAGCAGTGGATCTAATCGAACAGCTTCACAGACAATTTGCCATTCTTTCAGGTAAGAGACAAAGTCATTTGCATTTCTTGATTTTGTTGGTAGGTTCTGCTGGGAGAACCTATTCTCTTGAATGCACATGGTACTTACATGGAAAGTACATGTAAGTTCCTGGTCCTTACATGGCAGGCACCCCATTATATCTCATCCAGGACTAGCTGGAGATGGTAGGGTCTATAAATGTCATTCTCTTTGTTGTTGAGTTCCTTTTAGTCTTTTTGAGATGGGGGAAGCAAGAAGCTGAAAAGATTCTAAGGAAGGAAAATGAAAGAACTGCTAAAATCAGCTTCCACTATGATATTCTTCTGGAGTGTGTTTCCAAGATGCAACAATGAGAGAGTCTTGGTTTTAAGGGTCCGTGAGTGTTTCTGAAGTTATTTGTACTCAGAGTGATAATGTCTGTTATTCTTAGTTCTGTTCAAGACCGAATTTCAATATATTAATTTTCACTAAGCCTTTAATTGGTAATAGCACTGTTTGTCCTTGCATTGTTCATCGATTTGCTCGAGCGGGCACCAGTAACGTCTCCATTGTGAGACTCGTTACTGTGTTTGGCATATCGAATATGTCACAAGGGAGCTTACCAGGCTCTGCCATGTGGACCGGATACTCTCGGTAACTTGCTGGGCTCTCCGAGAGGGGCAGAGGAATTGAACCTGGGTTGGCCATGTGCAAGGCAAATGTCCTACCTGCTATGCTATCACTCTGGCCCTAATAAAAAAGATTAATACTATTAATTAATGGAGCAATAGCACAGCGGTAGGGCATTTGCCTTGTGTGCAGCCGGCCCAGTCAAGCCGGGTTCAAGTCGTCTGCCCCTCTCGGAGAGCCCGGCAAGCTACCAAGAGTATCTCATCCTCATGGTAAAGCCTGGCAAGTTACCCGTGACATGTTCAATATGCCAAACACAGTAAAAAAAAGTCTCACAATGGAGATGTTACTGGGCCCGCTTGAGCAAATCGATGAACTATGGGAGGACAGTGCTATAGTGCTAATATTATTAATAAAAATTTAGATATTTTCTGAGACCAAGCACAACCCAATAAAGTTGTTTATTTCTAGAATACTATTATTTCTCACTCACTTAGTCAAGCATTACATGATTTTAATTACTGAAATGGGGGTGGTTACAGTTAGAACAAGTTTAAAAGCATGGCTATGTGACCTTCAGTACATGTCATAGAGCATTGAGGTGACAAACCTACCTTTTACGAAAAAAAATGATCATAGTTACATCATTAAATCACAGACAGAAAATGTAGCTGATATGAAATTTATTTGACGATGTGGATATAAAAATAGCTGGTTTCGGGGTCTCTCTTAATCATATTTAATGTATTTCAAACTCCTCCCTGCTGAATTAGTAGGAAATGCAATATTAGAATATTTCTCCTCACCCTAGATTTGCACCCTGGGTGGGGCCATCTTACCCCCAACACTCTTGGGGGTCAATCTCTGCTCTTTCCTCCACGTGGATCACTGCTCAGAGAGTCACTATAAGCGCCCTAACACCAGGGTCCTCATTTTCCCTGTTAAGGTTTTTTTTTAAAAAAAATGTTTTGGGGCCATACCCAGGTGTGCTGGGAGGCTTTGTGGTTGTGGGGGTCACACCCAGGACTCCCACTTGTATAGTATGCACACCAGCTTTCAGCCCCTCTTTTACTTATTTCTATTGGCATCACCAATTCTCAGAACAAAGACTAGAAGATAGCAATTGTTCAGTTCAAGATTGTCCAAGTTTCTGTGGTCTGTCATGTAAGGCCAGAGCACTCCCTGCTACCTTTATGTTGGCCCCAGTCTTGGTACTGATGAGCATGCCTGCTACTCCTGGACCAGTCTTGGTACTGATGGGTGTGCCTGCTTCTCCTGGAGGTGCCACTTGTAGCTTCCCACAGGAAGCCTGAGGTTGTGTGGAGCAAAAAGCAGAATGGTGATTACTTTGGGTTTCTGTGGACTGTGCAGTGGCTCCATCACACAGGTGTCAGGAATGGGTGAGGGTTGGGTGGTGGGTTCCTGATGCCTGTGAGCAGCCTCAGGACAGGAACCTGGCTTGTTCTGGGAAATAGGCTAGTGACTGATTTATGCATTAACTTTTAAAATTTTTTACATTTAAATTCCTCCACCTCTCTCAGAGAGCCCGGCAAGCTACCGAGAGTATCTCGCCTGCCCAGCAGAGCCTGGTAAACTCCCCGTGGTGTATTCAATATGTCAAAAATAGTAACAATAAGTCTCACAATGGAGACATTACTGGTACCCGCTTGAACAAATTGATGAACAATGGGAGGACAGTGCTACAGTGCTACAGAAATACCGTGAGATACAGTTACAAACTTTCATAATTAAGTTTCAGTTATACAATGATAGAGCACCACTAGTGCTCATTTTCTACCACAAATGTTCCAAGAATCCCTCCTGCCATCCCCATCCATCCCACCCCCTGCCTCTGTGATAGGCACCTTCCTTCTTACTCTCTCTCTCTCTCTCTCTCTCTACTTTTGGGCATTATGGTTTGCAACACAGATACTAAGAGGCCATCATGTTTGGTCCTTAGTCTACTTTCAGAATACATTTCCCATCCTGAGCAGTCCCTCCAACGATCATTGACTTAGTGGTCCCTTCTCTTGATTTATGAATTGAGTGAACCATCTCTCTCTCTCTCTCCTCTCTCTCTCTCTCCTCTCTCTCTCTCTCTCTCTCTCTCTCTCTCTCTCTGTCTTATTCTGTTTTGGGGCCACACCCAGTGGCTCTCAGGATTCACTCCTGATTCACTCCTGGCTCCTTCCTCAGGGATCACTCCTGGAAGTGCTTGAGGGAATCATGCAATGCTGGAGATTGAACTGGGGTCAGCCACATGCAAGGTCCCCTTACCTCCTGTTCTGGGGACCTTTCTGCTCCCCCCAATATTCACTTTTTGAGTACTATGAAAACATTTTTCTTTTTCTTTTTATTCTTAAAGTCGATATAGACAAAACATAAGCTGGTACCAGACAGCTGCAGGTATGGATTTTGATTCTGCTCCTCTTTTACCTTAGGCAAAGCTTTACTTTTCACTTTCCTCATTTTGATAATGAGTTGGGTCCTCATCATCTTGAGGATTAAATGGCATCATGTGTGAAAAATGCTTAGTATTACAACTGTCAGGTAAATATTTGCCTTATATTTTATTTTGGGCCTGACAATGCTTAGCGGTTACTCCTGGCACTGTGTTCAGGGATCATTCCTTGTGGTTCTTGGGGGACCATATTGGATACCGAGGATTGAACACGGGTTGGCCATGTGCAAGGCAACTGTCCTACCCACTCTATTTTTTCCTGATAGATTATAATCTTGTAGAGGAGGATTATTGTAAGGCTATGGGACAGTGGATAACTTTCAATATGACATAGTTTAATTATGCGTTTAATTGTCAGTTAACTACCACCCCCTTTCTTTTGTTGTGGTGATGGATATTGTAATCACTGGGGCTTGGGGGGCTGCACATACACACCCAATTTTGGTGCTCCCATCTCTTTGCCATGGTGCTCCCTGTGAGGTCACACATTTAGTTGTGGTGCTCACCGAGGTTGGCATGCCTTCAGTGGTAGTGTTTGCAAACTTTCTTGCCAGGGGTCATACTCAGAATTGCACAGGTTATGGTTGTGGTACTCACACACATGCTCAGCGGGGTTGTCCTCTTCCTGATGGGATGTCCCTACATCCTTTAGCTGCAATGCTCTGGGTGGGGGGGCTGCCTCCCTCTTTGCTGTGCTTCCACACACCTGGCTAGGGAATGTCTCTGGGCTCCGGGGATCACAAACAGCAGAGCTCGCAGGCTCAAAGAGCAGAACTAGCAGGATTGCGCTCATGTGGGACATTGGGAATTTGAACTCATGATCAGATGCTTGTCCTGGCATAGTCCTTTTCAAAATGGACATAAGTATGCTTTTCCTTGAGCAAAATTGTAAGAAATTTAGGATTACATAAGATCAGGTGTAGGATGACATTGCTTTGTCCTTTCTCCCTTTCTCCACAAGGAGCTTAGGTTTATCAGGTTACACCCATCACAGTGCTCCCAAGTCACTTCCATTCCTTCTTTTATCTGTAACCACTTCTCTATGCTCTCTTCCCCAATCAGTTAATCAGCTTTTCCCCCTAATCAGAATCTGTTAATTTGTAAGGTCAGATCCTTCTAGGACACTGAAATTGTATTGTAAGTTAATATTGCCTTTCTCTTCTCCTTCTGTCTTTTGAATAGTTTACTTTAAAGCAATGCCGTTTTTGTATAGATACAGGAAGACCGTTAATATTATGCTTTGTAATTTAGGATTTAATTGGCTTTGAATATTATTCACTCCCGGACATCTGCTTACTTGACTTAAGCCTCAGTTGCCTTTGGTTCCTAACACCCCAAACGCAGGGTCCCAACGAGGGACTGAATGGACCCAGGGCAAGTGGTGAGCTACCCTGGCATCGAAATGGGCCAGGCCAAAGTGCCATGATTCTTAACTATAAGTTAAGAGCTTGATCATAGACAAATGCTGTCATGATCCAAAAGTAACAATGAGACTAGGACCCTACTAGGGATAGGAAAGACTATCTTGTCTGAGCACTGGAGTCTGAGATTGAGATGACCCTAGGAGAGCAATTCTATAAGTTTAAGGTATTTCTTACTGTATCCATACAAAATGATTTACATTGTGTATGCTTATATATTTGTTGGACAAGGAGAGGAGAAACACACCCAGGGGATTCCATCCTAGGGTGGGTCGTCCTGCTGAGAGAGTATCTGTCCTGAAGCGGCTTTCCCGGAAGGAAAGAACTTTATGCAACCCCTATTGATTGTGACCACACCTATGTGTAATTGTTACCCCAGCCCCTCATGCTTTGGGATTTAACTGTACTGTAAGAGTGAGACAGGAGATCAGAATCCAGACTCCAGAGCAAGAGGAGAAAGGAAATCGGGATCAGTATCCAGATTGTAGAGTCAGAAGGAGGATGAAGGAGGATCGAGAAGGAGAATGAAG